CTTTGTTACCTTGACCCCCCTACTTCAAATTTCCAGCCACTGGTTCTCCCTCCCCACATTTACGCAGTACTATTTTTTCCTTAATACTCATTGCTTTCTATCATATTATAGAATTTACTTACACATTATTTTTTATCTGTCTCTTTCCTTCAGAATCTAAGCTACATGAAGACAGAGCTCTTTGCCGTGTTTTGTCCATTGATTTAGTTCAAGAACTCTGTAAAGTATCTAGCACCGAGTAGGTGCTCAGTAAATATCTGGATTAGTAAATAAGGGCTATGAAGAAAAACACAGGCTGACGTGTAGAAAAAAGTGTAGAAAAAAGACAACACATGCCTTGGGTAAAAGGCAGGGCTGGGGAAGAGGAGCAGCTCTAAGCTGGATTTAAGTTCTGATTTAGTTTGGACTAAACATTTTTTGTTGTTGTTGTACGCGGGCCTCTCACTGTTGTGGCCTCTCCCGTCGCGGAGCACAGGCTCCGGACGTGCAGGCTCAGCGGCCATGGCTCACGGGCCCAGCTGTTCCACGGCATGTGGGATCTTCCCAGACCGGGGCACGAACCCGTGACTCTCAACCACTGCGCCACCAGGGAAGCCCTGGACTAAACGTTTTAATACCTGAAAATGAGGCTTGAGAAGGAATAAAAAGATAAGGGATCTGCCTGAGGATATACAGTCCTTTGTGTGAGGAAGGGAGAGAAGACATAGTGGCACTGAATATTAGTGACAGAAGTAAAAAATAGAGCTATTTTCTGACTACTGCCCATCAAGCCCAGCCCACTCAATGTCTCCATCATTTCTGCCACCATCGGGTTAGGTAGGCTATCCTGGGATCCCCAAAAAGTTCCTCACATGGGGATCCAGGGGAGCTTTGCAAAAGGAATGACTTTAAAAGCTGAGCCACGTGAGCGGCTAAGTTGAGCCCTCAGGCCAGGAAGAGGCAGAGTTGAAGCCCAAGGGGAAGTTCAGTAGGAAAGGGACAGGGGCGGAGTCCAAGAAGGCAGACTGTTAAAGAGAAGAACCACAGGCCCCAAATGGTATCACTTGTGTTGAAGCCACCTTGTTATCTTTGCCTCGTTCTGACCGAAGTCTGAAAAAAGGCCCCTACGTGGAGAGCTCTGATTATAGCTGGAAAACAGGCTGGTTCAGCTCAGGGCAGGGAGTCCAGAGAACATCAGCCCTGCAGGCAAGGAAGCTGAGGCTTAGAGAAGAAAGCAGTGTAACCACAATGACAGAGATGGTAGGTGTCATTTCCATCCAAGTCCCTGGCTTTCGGGGAACTGACATTTTGGAGAATCATCAGGAATTCCAGCGGCACCCAACATAAGACAGCCTCAGCTCAAGAGCACTGGTGATGTTGAGCTGGACCTGCATGTTTTCCTTGCCTCTGGTGCCCTCTCCTGGTAGGTATTGGGCAAATCACCAAAGTCCTCTGAATTTCCACCTTTGTAATAAAGCGAATTTGCCCAGTCTAGGAATGCCATAAAGACAAAAGACATAAAGAACAAGTAAATCACTTTGACAAGGTTTTTTTTTTCTTTTTAAGGACTAGTGAAATTTTAGGAGGTACATTTCTCTGCCATAAACCTTCAGTGGCTCCCTTGCACTCACAGGAGGAAAACAAAATTCCTAAACCGCGTCATCCTGAATCAGTCATGAAAAGTGATGCATGTGTGGATGGTGGAGCTGGAACACCTGACTTTTAATTCTGTCTCTGTGAGATACTGGCTGAGTGAACTTCAGCAAACTGCTTAACCTCTCTGTTCTATCTGTAAAATAAAGCATGTTGCCCACCATCCAGTTCTACAAGAATCAAGTCATTAGCCACTGCAGTTGCTGACCTATAGTACACACTGAAAGGAATTCAGAGCGAAGATCAGGAAGAGACATTAACAGCCAACAGGCCCTTAGATAGTTAGATATATTTCGGGAGAAATTTTTATGAACCCAGATCGTTGCATCTTCCCATACTTAGAAAAGCACTAAAATCATTAACTGGGATATCTGTTCCTTGTGACTAGCAGCAATCTTCTGCCGAGATATGTGCTTGCGTGCACACACCCCTTCGCCAAAATCACACACATACTGGCCTCCCCAACCTCTTCTGAACAGTTCCTCTGAGCAAACTGAGAGACTGTCCCTTCGGCTATAGCCTCAGTAAGTTCCCAAATAAAACTGGAACTCAGGGGCTTCCCTGGTGGCACGCTGGTTAATAATCCGCCTGCCAATGCAGGGGACACAGTTTCGAGCCCTGTTCCGGGAAGATCCCACATGCCGTGGAGCAACTAAGCCCGTGGGCCACAACTACTGAGCCCATGCGCCACAACTACTGAAGCCCATGCACTTAGAGCTGGGCTCCGCAACAAGAGAAGCCACCACAGTGAGAAGCCTGTGCACCGCAATGAAGAGTAGCCCCCGCTCGCCGCAACTAGAGAAAGCCTGCACGCAGCAATGGAAGACACAATGCAGCCAAAAATAACTAAATAAATTAATTATTTCAAAAAACCAACAAACAAAGAAAAACTGGAACTCACAGCTTTCACGTGCATTTTTATTTCATTCAACATATCTATAAAACAAGGGTGTTGTCGGTACCTGTCCAACAGGACGGTTGAGAGTTAAAAAATTTAGAATTATGCTGACTGTGAGCTGTTTTTAGAAACACAAAACCTGTCTTTCCCACCCCAAGGCCTTTGCACATGCTGTATCCTTTGTTCAGAAAGCTCATCCCCAATTTCCTTACTTAGTTTACTTCCACTTTTCCTTTGATACCAGCTTACTGGGGACTTCCTTATGGAAGTCTCCTCTGATACCCTGAGTCCCCCCCAGTCTCAATCAGTCCCCTCATCTGTGTTTTAACTGTACTCTTTGCTTCATGACATTTATCACAGTTGTGCCTTACTTGCCTTATTCTTTGATGAATAATATCAGCCTCCCCGTTAGACTGTAAACTCCACAAGGGTAGTGTCATGGGCCAAATTATGTCCCATCAAAATTTATATGTTGAAGTCCTAACCCCTAATACCTCTGAATGTAGCTACATTCACAGACAGGGCCTAGAGAGATGATTAAGTTAAAATGAGGTCATAAGGGTGGGCCCTAATTTAATACGACTGGTGTTTTTATAAGAAGAGGAGATTAGGACACAGACATACACAGAGAAGGGGCTATGTGAAGACCCAGGAGAAGATAGCTATCTACAAACCAAAGAGAGAGGCCTCAGAATGAAACCAACACCACCAACGCCCTTGACCTGGGATTTACAGTCTCAAGAACTGAGGGAATAAGTCTGTTTTATTAAAGCTGCCCAGTCTGTGGTACTTTGTTATGGCAGCCTGAGCAGACTAATACAGGAAAGGACTGTTGGCTTTGCTTATCACTGCGTTCCCCGAGCCCGGGACGGAGTAGGCACTCAATAAATATTGGTCAATGAGTGAATGGAAGTGCTAAGAGTTGTATAAGCAGCAGTAGGGTCAGTTTCCATCTGTTCTTTTCTGCATGGCTGGTCTCAGTGGCCCAGAGTCACCCCTCTCTGTTTCTGGGCTCCTGAGACATGGCTTCAGGTCCCTGTATCTTTCCTGGGTGAGACATAACACACTAGCATTTGGAGTTGATGTGTTGGTATGTGGAGGAAGGACAAGACATGAGTCAGAGTACGGTATTGGGTGATTATTTCTTTAAAATAATTTTTTCATTAAAAGAGTTAAATATACTTACTGAGAAAAGTTGGAAAATAGAGAAATGTAGAGGAAAGGAAAAATCTATCATCCATTATTTTCAATACTCAGGAAAATTAACATTTTAGTGTATCTCCCTCCAGTCTTTTTTCCATCTGTAGATTTTCCTTTACATTTCCAAGTTGTGGTTCTCCACTCTACATATATTATTTTTATTCTGATTTAAAATTAATTTAGCTCAAGTTTTCCCCAACATGTATTTTTAATGACCACATAATATGTTATTGAGTTAACCTACCACAATTTAGTTAATCATTGCCCTATTAGTTAGGCATTAATTTTTTTCCCCATTTTTCCCCACTGTTTTAAACAATGCTACAGGAAACATCTTTTGAATACTTTTTTTTTTTTTTTTTTTTTTTTTGCGGTATGCGGGCCTCTCACTGTTGTGGCCTCTCCCGTTGTGGAGCACAAGCTCTGGACGTGCAGGCTCAGAGGCCATGGCTCACGGGCCCAGCCAATCCGCAGCATGTGGGATCTTCCCGGACCGGGGCACGAACCCGTGTCCCCTGCATCGGCAGGCGGACTCCCAACCACTGCGCCACCAGGGAAGCCCTTGAACACTTTCTTTTGTAGCGATTCCCAAAGATGGAGTTTCTGAATTAAAAGGTATGACCAGTTTTTATGGTACCGGATATGATTACCAAATAGCTTTATCAAAAGGGCCAAGTGGTAAAAAAAAAAAAAAGGGCCAAGTGGTTACACTCCCACTGGCAGTGAGTGAGATCACAAGTGCCCCGATACTCTGGTGACCTGTCCTTTGGAGGGCCAGCTGAAAGCTCTTAGGAAGTAAGACTAGTGGGCAGCTGCTGAGGATGTCTCCAAATATCTAGGGAAGTCAAGCCACCAAACACTTGCTAGACTGGGCAGTGGCTCTGAACTCTGGGTTCAGAAGAGAGCAGGGGCTTCCCTGGTGGCGCAGTGGTTGAGTCTGCCAATGCAGGGGACACGGGTTTGTGGCCCAGTCCGTGAAGATCCCACATGCCGCAGAGTGGCTGGGCCCGTGAGCCATGGCCGCTGAGCCTGCGCGTCCAGAGCCTGTGCTCCGCAATGGGAGAGGCCACAACAGT